CAGCACAGGTCATCCAGAGCCTTGCCTCTCAAAGTATAACCCGTAGACCAGCAGCATCCACGCCATCTGGCAGCTTGTTAGAGACGCAGACTTTTGGGCCCTGCCTGTCCCACCGCATCAGAGCCTGTACTTTCAGAAGATCGCAAGTTAATTGCCATGTACATTTCAGTTGAGAAACACTGATCTGACCACTTGCTCCCCTTCCTGCAAGTCCCTCTCCTTCCCTGTCACTTTGCCCTGCAAGGTGCTGCTTAGTCTCCTCTCAGTGTGGGGTGCTCACTCCTTCCTGGGACTGCCTGTTCCACTGTGGGACAGATCAAGCCAGTGGCAGTCCTTCCCGACCCTGTGCTGAAAGCTGCCCACTGGCTCCGATTCTCCTCCTCTGTGTCATTCGGTCTGTCAGCCATTCAACAAACATTTTCTCACAACTTGATGCTGGGCCCCGGACTGGACACTTGGGGACATGTCCAGACCAGGTGCTGTCCTGGAGTAGCTCACAGCCAGTGGGGAGAGAGAGAGAGAGAGAGAGAGACCCACAGTTAATCGTGGAGCAGTGAAAGAGGAATATTGAAGGCTCCGTGGGGCGCCAAGGGTAGTCTTGACAGCCCTTCCTTGGCTTGGGGTTTAGTATCATGGTGGAAATGTAAGGGCTTGGCTCAGGAAGAACAGGTGTCTTCTAGACAGAAGAAACAACTTGTGTGAAGGCTTAGTGACTGAGGGCAGGTCACACTGGGGTCCTATAGGCAGTTCTGTGTGGCAGGAGTAGCACTTGGGGGGAAGGGGGATGGGGAAGGCTTGTATTCGGGAAGGCTTGCATTTGGTCCTGGGGGCACTGGGGAGCCATGGAAGGTATGAAAGGTAGAGCAGCCTTCAGGTGGCAGTGTGGAGGCCAGACTGGAGGGGCAGGGAGGCCAGGTCAGAGGCTGTTGTAGTCATCCAAGCCAGACCTGATGGTGATGATGGCAGAGGTGAAGAGGAGATGACAGTCCAGGGGTAGGTGGGTGGGATGGGAGCGGCACAGTGAGGGGGGTGAGGTGCCAAGTGGGGGGAAGGACACTTGGGCAGCCGGAGAAACGGGTCTGGAGCTCAGAAGAAAGGTCTGAGCTGGAGGCAGAGACTGGAGTCTCTTCCCGTGGAGACGGTTGCGACCGTCACCAAGAGCAGAGACCGTGGGCGGAGAAGAGGCCCAGGCCAGAGACAGTGGGGTCGTTAGGGTTTCAGGTAAAGTGAAGTTCCAGTTGTCCCAGGCGCCCACCATGGAGACAGTGTGCCAGGGTAAGGCACGCCCATGGGCTGAAGGAGCCGCAGGGATTTGGAGCTGGGGTGGAAGCGGGGCTACAGGAGTCAGGAGTGATGAAATTGAAGTGGGGACTGAGTGTAGACAAGCTTCTCGTGAAGAAAGGAGGCTGGAGCCCGAGGGGCCAGAGCACCTTGAGCTGTGCACGGTTAACCCCGGATGGAAAGGAGCCGGGAACAGCATGAGCGGAGGGGGTGCAGGGCTCAAGGCCTCCAGAGGCTGGGCTGGGGATGCCTGGGATTCGAGGGAGGGGAGGACAGGCTAGCCTTGAGATAAGGAGGATGACAATGTGAACGTTCACAGAGATGGAGCGATCGCACCGTGGGCCGGGTCCTTTCCACGAATCACCTCGTCTGTGGTCACATGAGAACCACCCCCCTCCTGGTCCCTTCCCACCTGTGACTTCCTCTACCCTCCTGAGCACTGGGTGGGGTGGGGGGAGGGGGCAGGACAGACCAAACCCACTTATAGGCAGAAACACAGAGGTGGCTTAGCGAGGGAGGTGCTCAGGGCCGCTCACAGAGACAGCCCAGCCCCCAGGCCATTGCCCAAGACCCGGTGGGCACAGGGCCCGAGAGACTGAGGCCTGGGCCCTCTGCCTGTGCTGCCCCGCAGCTGAGCTTCCAGCGCAAGGTGGGCATCCTGTACTGCCGCGCCGGCCAGGGCTCGGAGGAGGAGATGTACAACAACCAGGAGGCAGGACCGGCCTTCACGCAGTTCCTCACCCTGCTGGGCGACGTGGTGCGGCTCAAAGGCTTTGAGAGCTACAGGGCCCAGCTGGACACCAAAAGTGAGGCCCCGGGGCTGGGAGTGGGGGTGGACCGGTGCCGAGGGGCAGACGGCCTTGGTGAGAGGCCCCTGGCTTGTCACCGCTCCCCCTGTAGTGTCCTGGGTCTGAGGCCCGGGTTGAAGAGTTCTTTGGGCAGGTTGAGGACATGGGTCAGGGGCCACACTGGCCAGGCAAGCCACGGGCTAGAAGGAAGGACTAGGATGGTCCCCCAAGGCCCTGATGCCCTACTGCCTGAGCTGGAGCCACGCGGGCTGGCAGGCACCGCTCCCTCCGTCAAACACACATGTTCCCCCAGCCCTGCTTCCTCGGGAATGCCCCTGCCTCCCGGGTTGGAAGGGCCCCAGGGCCGCTTGCGGAGCACCTCTGGCCTCCTTCCACTCTCAGCTGCTCCACACATGCTGGTGCCTGGGCCAAATCTGTCCTCTCCTGGGACATCCACCTCCGCCCCCCTCAGAGCAGGCCACTCCTCGCTGAGGTCCTCGTTCTATCTCCGCACGCCCACGCCGAGCCTAGGCTGGAGGCTGGAGCCTGTGGGGGAAGGGGCAGGGAGCAGCCACAGGTGAAGCCATGACTTCGTGACCTGGTGGCTTGAGGGGTGGTCCGCCTGCTGGTTGGGGGGCACAGGAGCTCGAGACCGCAAGCAGGGATGCCAAGTTCGAGCCGATCCCTCTTGCTGTCCCCCGTGTCCCCGAACCCCTGGCCACAGCGGATTCCACAGGCACACACTCCCTGTATACCACGTACCAGGACCACGAGATCATGTTCCACGTGTCCACGATGCTGCCTTACACCCCCAATAACCAGCAGCAGGTGTGAAGAGCTATGACGGGGCTGGGGGATGGCCACAGGCTTCTGGGGAACCATGGAGGGGGGTCACGTGGGCGGTGGCATTCGAACCTTGACCTGAGATCTCTCGAGGCCCAAACAACCCTCCCCAAAGACAATCACCCCAGACCTTCCCCAGGGGCAGGTGGGGGAGCCCCTGGTGCCCAGCCTCCACCTTGCCAGAATTAGGAGGGACTTGGGCAGACGGGTCCGGGTTACATCTCCTGCCATCTAACTCCCAGCTCCTTCGGAAACGCCACATTGGCAATGACATCGTGACCATCGTGTTCCAGGAACCTGGCAGCAAGCCCTTCTGCCCCGCCACCATCCGCTCGCACTTTCAGCACATCTTCCTGGTGGTGCGGGCTCATGCACCCTGCACGCCACACACCTCCTACAGGTGGGTGCCTGGGTGGTCCCAGTTCTTCCACCGCCACGGACCCTCCCAGTGGCCCCTAACTACCGCCTCCCTCCCCTCAGGGTGGCCGTGAGCCGCACCCAGGACACCCCTGCCTTTGGGCCGTCTCTGCCCCAGGGCGGAGGCCCCTTCCCGGCCAACGCCGACTTCCGCGCTTTCCTGCTGGCCAAGGCGCTCAATGGCGAGCAGGCAGCAGGCCACGCACGCCAGTTCCACGCCATGGCCACGCGCACGCGTCAGCAGTACCTGCAGGACTTGGCCACCAACGAGGTGACCACTACGTCGCTGGACTCGGCCTCGCGCTTTGGCCTGCCCTCCCTGGGCGGGAGGCGAAGGGCGCCCCCTCGGGGCCCGGGCTCCGAGCTGCAGGCGGCGGGGGCGCTGGTGTGGGCCGTGCGCGCGGCGCCCGGAGCGCGGGGCGCCGCGGGGGCCGAGGCCCGTGGTCCCGACGACGACGCCGAGGTGCCCTGCCTGCTGGGCATCTCCGCTGAGACGCTGGTGCTGGTGGCGCCGCGCGACGGCCGCGTGGTCTTCAACTGCGCCTGTCGCGACGTGCTGGCCTGGACCTTCTCCGAGCAGCGGCTCGACCTGTACCACGGCCGCGGGGAGGCGATCACGCTGCGGTTCGACGGGCCCCCCGGCCATGCCGTAGGCGAGGTGGTGGCGCGTCTGCAGGTGAGCCCCGGGAGTAAGGCAACTCGCCGCCGGGTCCCTCCCCACCTCGGGGGGCGGAGCGGGCTGTGGAACCCCTCGCTCCCGCCGCCTCTCCCGCGAAAGGGGAAATTGGGGGTTGGGGGCAAACCCTGCCCTGGCGCTTGGCAGAGCTGGAACGGGGGCCGGGAGGTCGTCGGGCAGGTGACTTCCGGTCTCTGAGCCTCAGGTCCTCATCTGCCGGGGTGTAGGGGTGCGGGGGTGTGGGGTAGGCGGTCTGGGCGGCCTGGGACCTGGACTGGAGCTGGCGCAGTGCCCGCCCTGCTCACGCCCCGCCCCGCCCCGCCCCGCCCCAGCTGGTGAGCCGAGGCTGCGAGACCCTCGAGCTGGCGCTGCCCCGCGAAGGCCAAGGCCGCCTGGGCTTCGAGGTGGACGCCGAGGGATTCATCACGCACGTGGAGCGCTTCACGTTCGCGGAGACAACGGGGCTGAGGCCAGGGGCGCGCCTGCTGCGCGTGTGCGGCCAGCCGCTGCCCAGGCTGGGCCCGGAGGCCGCTGCCCAGCTGCTGCGCTCGGCGCCCAAGGTCTGCGTCACCGTCCTGCCCCCCGACGAGAGCGGCCGGCCCCGCAGGTCAGGGCCTGGATGCGGGGAGGTGGGAGGACCTGGCAGCTGGCCACCGCGGAGCCTGTGCCTCCCGTGTCGCCATTAGCATTCTCCCAAGAATACCCGTGGGGAGGGCTCTCCTCCAGAGAATCCCACGTTTCTTAATCTCTCTGAGTCGCAGGTGCAGAGTGAAGCCAAGATGCAATAGCAGCCCCATCTTTTAAAAAGTATCATCCACAGACGCATACGTGCAACCGGCCCCTTACCGGCTTAAGCCAGGATATGCAAACTTTTCCCCCAAAGGGCCAGACAGTAAATATTTAGGTTTTCTGGGCCACCTGGTCTCTGCTACAGCTACTCAACTGTGCTGTAGCACAAAAGCATCCGTAGAGGACACGTGAATGAATTCGTTTTCTTTGTTCCACTAAACCTTTATTTGTGGACACTGAGATTTGAATTTTATTGATTTTCATGTGTCGTGAAATGTTCTTTTGATTTCTGCCAACTATTTAAAAATGCAAAAACCATTCTTGGCTCACAGGAGTAGGAAAACAGGCACATCTGCTAAAACAGGAAAAAAAAAAAAAAAAGGCGCAGGCTGGATTTGGCTCCCAGGCAGGAGGTTTTAGATCTCTACCCCGGGTGATTTACTTGTGTCGTTACTTAAATCCTCACAGCGGGCTGTCAATTGGTACAGTTCACCCATTTCGCAGACGGAGAAACGGGTGTTCAGAGTGATTTACCCAGGATACACAGGGGCAGCGCTGGGTCTGGAAAAAATGGCCAGTAGTCAGGCAAACAGTTTTCCTTGTCGTTAGGGTGTTTGGAGAGCTCTCCTCCTGGAAGGGAGCCTCGGGCACAGCCGGGAGTGGGGTTGGAGATGCGGGACACCGGGGACAGGGTGTTCCTGCCTGACGCCGCCCGTTCTTCCGCCAGGAGCTTTTCGGAGCTGTACACGCTGTCTCTGCAGGAGCCCAGCCGGCGGGGGGCCCCAGAGCCCGTGCAGGATGAGGCCCCCGGGGCGGCGACCCTGCAGCCCACCACGCAGCAGTTGCTACAAGCGTGCCTGCTGGAGGGTGGCAGTTCCACGGGGCCTGGGGATCTGGCTGAAGAGAGGACCGAGTTCCTGCACAGTCAGGACTCCCCGTCACCCCGCAGGTGCTCCCTCTCGGCCCTCCCTCTTGTCCAGCCCAGTGAAGTTGGACAGCCGCGGTCTGTGAGAGCAGGGGCCCTGGGGTGCAGCTTCTCTCGCTGAACTGTCTCTGCTCTCCCCAGCTCCCTGTCAGACGAGGCCCCGGTCCTTCCTAACACCACCCCGGACCTCCTCCTGGCCGCCACGGCCAAGCCGTCAGCACCCAGTGCTGGCCGGGAGACACCACCCACCCGGGTGAGCAAAAACAAGACACGAGCCCAAAGGGCGGTGGTGGGCACAGTGGGGAGGGTGGACGTCACTGCATCCGTACCCATTAACACCCCTCAGGATGGGCCAGGCAGCCCCAGTGGTTGTGAGGACAGGGGCGACCCGGCCCCAGAGCTGAGGGCCTCCTTCCTGCCACGAACCTTGTCTCTGAGGAACTCCATCAGCAAAAGTGAGTCTGGAGCAAGGTGTGGGTCACGGGTGGCGGCGGGCAGAAGAGGGGCTGGCTTGGGCTCTCCCTGGGCTGAGCCCACCTCCCTGTGCCCACAGTCATGTCAGAGGCGGGCAGCGAGACCCTGGAAGACGAGTGGCAGTCCATCTCAGAGATCGCCTCCACCTGCAACACCATCCTGGAGTCACTGTCCCGGGAGGGTGAGGCCACCAGAGCGCAGGGGGTAGGAGCCAGGGTGGGGTGGGGATCTTTCTCCCTTTATCCTCCTGCCCAGATGGTCCCTCTGTCCCCACAGGACAGCCCATCCCAGAGAGCGGGGATGCCAAGGGAACTCTGAAGTCCGATGCTGAGTAAGCCTCCCCGTGCGGATCTAGCCCCTTCACTGTACCTGCGTGGCCTCCATACGTGCCCGTTCGCTAGAGTTAAGCGTTGTCCCGGGCAGGGCTCCGCGCTCACACCCACAGAAGTCTGAGAACACAGGGGTTGGGCCCATCTCATTTAAGCGGGCTGGGAGCCAGCCGGAGGTGCTGACACCTACCCTGGTCCCATGAACCTGTCCCCCACGTCCTCAGGCCAGAACCTGGGAACCTGTCGGAGAAGGTCTCTCGCCTGGAGTCCATGCTCAGGAAGCTGCAGGAAGATCTGCAGAAGGTGACGACGGGGCGGATTGGGGGTCGGCGGGGAATTACAGGGCCGCCCTGGGAAAGGAGCCGCTGCTCTGACACCTGCCTCCCACCCGTCCCAGGAGAAGGCAGACAAGGCGGCCCTGGAGGAGGAGGTGCGGAGCCTGCGTCACAACAACCGGAGGCTGCAGGCCGAATCAGAGAGTGCAGCCACGCGCCTGCTCCTGGCCTCCAAGCAGCTGGGCTCACCTACTGCCGACCTGGACTGAGCCGTCTGGGCCAGCCTCAGCCTGGCTGTGGACCTGCTTGGAACTGCTCAGGTCCTTCAGGGTACCTGGGTCACAACGGGCCCGGGGCCCTCCTCAGGAACTCTCCCTGCGCACAGAGGCGCGTCTTAGCACTGCCCCCACTCCCCAGTCCATTATTTGGTGGTGAAGTTGCCCCTACCCCCCATCCCTGTTTGTAAATATTCTGTGGAGAAGAGGGGACTTTGGGGAGTAAAGAAGCCACTACTATTTGTGTCTGTGTGGGTGTTCATGACACGACGGGGGGGGGGGGGGGGGGTTGGGGGCAAATCGGTTTTGACCCCAGAGGCTCCTGCCAAGTTCCCAGGACCAGTTAGGACAGGCCTTGGGGACATTGGCTCAGGCCTAGGTCGGCACTCGCTGAGGGGTTCTCTGAGGCTAGGCCACCCCTTGGTTTCTCTCCCACAAACATTTATTTGTTCTGGTGGGAAGCAGATGGCCACGCCCCACACTTACTCTGCTTTATCTGGGAGCCAGGCCCAGCCAGGCCCTTGCCCTGGAACCAAACCTGAGGGAGACCAGGGGCAGAGGGAGGGAGGTGGGCCTGCAGGCGTGGGGGAGGAGTTTAGGGATCAAGGAGAGAGGCTGATTATGCTCCGATGGAAAGTCCTTTTCCAGGCCCTGCCCTCCAGTGAAGGCCCCACTTCTCCTCTCTGTAGTCACCGAGCCCCCAAGACTGGAGCTTCCTCGACCCCTGGCAGGTGACTGCAAGACACTGGGAAGGCCAAGGGAGAGGCGTGGCCCGGGTAGGGGGACCAGGGCTCACTCGGTTCGTTCCCCTCGGGCCTCAGGCTGGGGCCACCGTACGCAGCTACGCCGTCTGCTTCCTCCGGTCAGGAGCCTTCTCACCTCCCTCCTCGGGCTCGCCCGGGCCCCGCCTCCGGGGCCGGGGTTCCACCGAACCCGGCCTCCCTGGGCGATGGGGTCGCGGGTTCGCAGGGGTCCTGACCTGGCGACCACACTCGGGTTCCGCCCCGTACGCGGACGCGCAGCTTGGCCTGGTCCCTGAGTGGCCCACCCTGCTTCGGGCCCCGCCCCTGGCTCCGCCCGCTGGGCTAGAGGCTGGAACGCAAGCTTGGCTCTGCAGACGCTTTCCGATACCCCGACATTTTGCCGCTCTCTGGCGTCTTCCTCGCCGGCAGGCAGTCCACCACCGGAGTCTGCAGCCAGGGCCTACTGTCGTTCCCAGGGTACACGCTAGTTTTTGCAGCAAGCGCCACTGGTAACCCGCATACCTCTACCTTCACCCTCCCGCAGCCGTGCAGAGCACAGAACTTAGATGCCATCCGATTTAGGACTGGGATTTCCCCGAAGCGCATTACAGGGCCGCCCCTCGCGGAATGCCGCCTGTGCGCGTGCGCACTTGAGAAGGCGGGGTCTTGCGGGCCCGAGCCTTCGCGAACACTGCCTTACTGCGCCTGCGTCGGGTCAAGCCGGAAGTACGTCCAGCTCCAGGCCTCTGGGCTGTGGCCTGGCTTTTGTTTAGGCTCTCGGGGCTGCAGATTTAAGATTTCTTTGGTCCTCGCAGAACAGGATGTCAAAGCATAGACCTTTACCTAGCACCTCCCTTCCCCAACAGATGCGAACTCTCCCTCAACCACCCAAGAGATGAAATCCAAACCTCTCGGTCCAGCGTCATGTTTTTTATAGCCTGGCCCCATCCAACTTTTCCAACATTGTCTCTTTTACCCGGCTCACCTTCCAACGCTGGCTAGACCCTTTGCAAGACTGACCCTCCTGTGATCAAAGACCTGAAGCTGATTGCCCCTATGGCCTCTGTGAAGCTCCTCCTGAAACTACTCCATCCCCACAGCCACTGGGCCCTGCTGAGCTCTCACTGTGCTGGGACACCACCCCTATTAGCTGCTTGCTTTCATCCACGGGCATTTCATTCCAAGGACATCCTCGGACTGCAGGCTTCTAGATGACAGTGTAACTATTCATCCAACTCTGTATTGCTAATGTCCAGCCTGACATGACCAGCAAAGAGTGTGCTGTTTGCTGAAAGAAGGGGAATCTCTGGCCAGCTTGGCAACAAATTTATTAGTTCAGAATAGAAAGAGCAAGAGTCCAACTGCTTTGATTTCTTCAGTAAAAACTGAGCCTCTTGATTGGAGAGCTGCCAGCCTGCCCTCCCCCCTACTCTCCAAACAACTAGCCCTACTTATTAAGGCACTTGAGGAAAGGGGGAACAGAGAGGTCTCAGACCGAACCTCCCAGGATCCCGGACAGGGCCAGTGTTGTCCCACCAGTTCCCTTACAGCCACAGCTGAGCAAGGAGAGCTGGCAGAGACCTCTGCAGGGCCAGAAGGCCAGGCCCTCAAATGCTGGTGTTAGTTCAAGGACAACGTGCCAGCACCACAGAGGGGCTGGTAACAGGCATTATTTTGGCACAAGATGTGAATGAATCCATCATGTGAAGACACTTGGTGATAAGGCTTTGTGGCCTCAAAGGCCATAGCTCCAGCCTGTCCCTCTCTCTAGGAGAGTATTAGAAGCTGGAAGGTAGGGATGGGGGCCCCCAGAATTCCCTGTAAAGAGAAGGGAGCGGAACATCAGGATAGGGGAAGAGTTTGAGTCCTCCCTGCTCCCCGCTTTCCAGAGAAGTTAATGCTTCTGCTTAAGCACCTCCAAAAAGAGAGAGAGATAGACACTGCCAGTAAAAGAATAAAATGCACCCCCCGGAAGACATCACCCAAAGAAGTTGGGGGCAGTTGGAGCACACCCCCCTCCCCGAATCCATAAGTGCTTGCTTTGGGAGGGCTTCAATCCCCTGCAACCCAGTACCCCAGGCAGGGTAAGTGTCCCCCCCTTAGGAGCTGATCTGACTCAGAAGGGCTGAGAAGTCCATGTCGGCAATGGAAGAGAAGTCTTCATCCCCTGAGAGGAGGCCGTTGGGAAGCCCGGAGGCCCCCAGGGGAGCGGGAGCTGGGTCAGGGGGCCTCTGGGACCCCGTCACCAGGCGAGTTATTGCCTCAGGGTATTCCATCAGCATGGGCTCAGCTGGGTGGGGGGCCACAGATACACCCTGGTTCAGCAGCTGCTGAAACTCAGAGTTGTCGACGGATGCCAGGTCTGTGAACACTGCTGGGTCGGCGCTGTTGCCAAGCAGGGCCCCCAGGTCTTCATCAGCGTCAAACTGCAGGTGCAGCAGGGCCTCCGTCAGCGTCCCTTCCCCAGCCTGGGTGGTCTTGGGAGCAGGCGGGACCACAGCCTGAGCAAGGCCTGGGGCTAAGATTGGGGCAGGGGCCGGGGCTGGGGCCGGGGTAGGGGCGGGGACAGGGGCAGGGGCCGGGACAGAGGCAGGGGCTGGGGCCAGGATTGGGGCAGGGGCTGGTGCCAAGGCAGGGGTCTGGCTTGGGATCTGCCCGGAAGGGAAGACCATGGGGGAGAACTCCTCGAAGTTGATGGTGCTGAGGGATGGCGTAAAGGGATAGGGCTGGGGAGCTGGGAGAGAGAGACAGAGTCGGGTCAGACAAGGCTGCAGAGACCCACCCTGTCACCTGTGCCCCAGCCCCTGTCAGTAGTGCTTAGGATCAGTCCCTAGGAGGAGGTCCCTCCCTAGGAGGTCATGGCTAGCACCCTCACTCCTTCTTCCTCAGTCTGACCTGTTCGGTTCCATCCCCACGTCCTCCTGTGGAGCCCTCCAGCCCGCAAAGCTCTCCCAGCCTTTTAGAGGAAGGGATGCTGTCAGAGATCAGCTGGTAAAACCCAAGCCACAGACCATGAGCCCAGTGAGCGCCCGGCGAGTCAAAGCCTGAAGCAGGGCACTTGGTCGCTCTTTTGTGAGCTACATACCAGCATGCACATTCTGCTGGAGGAGCTTTTGCTTCCCTAATTCAACTGAGAGCTGAGGGCGAAGACTGCATTTTTGAATGGTCTCCTGCGGCATCCAGTGTGGGGTTTGGCTGACATAGTGGTTCTCAGACCACAACGTGCATTAATTCATGAGCTGGTTCCGGGGCCACGCTTCCAGAGCCTCTGGATTGCACAGGTCAGTGATGGGGCCGGGGAATGTGCATCTTCACTACCCCCCCAAATGACTCTGATGTGGGTAACTAGACCTTAAGCCCTGTGAGCCCCACAGACAGTAAGCTTCAGACACCCGCTGGTAAAGCTGACCTCCTCCAGCCCAGAGCCACAGGCTGAATAGAGTTGAGCCCACAGTTCTGGTGGGGCAACAGGAAATCCTTACCTGGCTTGGGGACGGCAGCTGAGCTTCGGGAAGGCACAGCAATGCGCCGGGGTGGAGGCCGGGGGTCGGTGGGTCCTGTGGGGCAAGGCTGGGTCAGTTCCTAGCCCCCAGGGTCTCCCCTCCCCTATCCACCACCTTCTAATTCTCTGCACTGCCCCTCTCACCATTGAAAGGACTCTTTTTCATGATGCTCTTGAAGGTCTCATATGTCCTTTTGCGTTTCTCCTCAATCCGGTGACGATCATCTAGAAAAGTAATGGGGAGAAGTAGGTCTTGCTCTTCTCAGCTGGATCCCCAGAGCCTTCAAAGGACCCGCAGGAGGAAGATGACGAGACCACCTTTCCGTAAGACCCTTTCTCCAAACATTGCCTGCCAATAAGAAGGGCCTCATGACACTGACACGCAATTCTGAGAGTCCCACAGCTTTCTGAGAAGGCCTTGGTCACTGAATCTGACCACCCCCCTCAAAGGCCACGTGGGTGCCTCCAAGTAGGGGTCATGCTCTGAGGGGACAGGAGCCCTCGTGAAGCCGTCTCCAGCTTTTTCTCTTACCTGCATTGCCCACGTCCTAGCTCACCTCCAGCCTTGATCCAGGCCTGGCCATGATCTTTGCACTCAGGGGCAGCATAATAGGCTTGCTAAAGACCAACAAGGACTTGTATTCTTATCTCTGATGGTTTGCTAGTTCAGTCTGGAGCCTCCAGGACTGCCTTTCTAAGTACTGGAGCACATGGATAACTCCAAAGTACTCAACACCATCAGTCCAAAGCCAGCCGCATCATCTCACCTCAAAAACCTGGTTCTTCCTTCTCCAGTGGCCCCTCACCACCTGTCTGCCCTGTCACCCCAACTAGAAACCTTGGAATCATCCTCAGCATCTTCCTTTCTCTCACTCTCCACCATCCACTAACACGACACACGTTTACCAACACCCACCATGTGCAGGCTCCATTCTAGCCACTGGGGGTATGGCTGTAAGCAGACAAAGGCTCCTGCTCCCCCCAAAGTGGACATCCTCATGACAGGGGGACAGGGACACAACCATATACAAGTGACAGGAGCTCTAAGGAAGAGACACAGGCTGATGTAACAGAACCGGAAGTGAGGTTGGGGGGTCGAGCTTAGAGGTGGCCATGGAAATACCAGTGTGGGCCCATCATGTGGCGATCCAAGCACTCCAAGCAGAGGCAACAGCTGGAGCACAGGTCCCGAGGAGGGACTCAGCTTAGTGTGTGTCGGACAGAAGGGCTTGGGGGCAGAGGGCACCCAAGGGAGACAGCGGTGGAGGAGACTGTCTTCCTCTGCCATTGGCTCTGCAAGGTTCACACCACGTCTTCTCCTGGACCGGACTACGGCATCTTCCACAAGAGCCTCCCTGCCTGGAGTCTCTCCCTCTCGGATCCTCTATACATTCCTGCCAGAGTGAGCTTCCAGATCCACGCGTGTCCCTTCCTTCTTAAACCTTTGGTGGCTCCCCACTGTCTTTAGGATGAAATCTTGGATGAATGCCTTGAGTCTGACACTCGAGGCCCTCCTGCCAGCACCTGTTCAGTGCCCGCCGACAGCTCCCACAAGGCTGCCCCCAAATGCGATGGGCACCCTCCAACGCCCTTGCGCCTCCAGGTGTCTGTCCACCTACCTGGAGAATGTGCTTCTGGGGCCTTCTCCACCTTAAAACACTCCTGCCCCATGCAGCCATCTCCAGCTCTTTGCACGCACCTCCCTCTGTTTCACAGGTCTTTCTGTCACTTAAGAATCTGTCCTGCATGTTTGTCTTTCTCATGAGAAGACTGAGCTTCTGGAGAGCAGGGAACACATCTCATTCGTCTTTGTGTTCACAAGACCTGGCACGGGCCCTGACACCACGTGGGTGTCAATAACTATTTGTAGAATGAACCGATGGCTATTTCGGGGGTTGCTTTCCAAACTCTATCAGACTGCTCCTGGGACAGAAAACACTCTCAGGCTCGACGACGGGCTTTGGATCGAAGATCATTCTGGCTGTTCCTAATGTGGTCAGATGCCCGAAAGCCTTGACCAAATCATGGCTACGTGGGAGTGACGAGACACATCGCCTGGCAATAGGACCCTAGAGCCAGATGGCCTGAGTTTAAATACTAACTCTGCCACTCACTATCTATGTGACC